GTGGTGATTTTTGGGTCTAATGGGTCTAACCCATTTTGCCCATAACCTCTCATTCTACAAAACTTGGGTACCCCTCGGGGCACACCCCAAGTTCCGATCCCATACCTTATAAACCCATTCAAAACTTCCCACCAAATCAATGTGGGACAATCCATTTTTCAACCTTAAAGAATTTCCACCAAAACTCCATTTCCATAGAGCACACTTTGGCATCAATTTTCCATTCACTCGATAATGGTTTTGATCAACCAAATATACCACGTGAATCATAACGCGGCATAAAACGCGTTACCACTTTGACCCGCGGAAAGTGACGCATGGAGCCCACCTAAAAAATATACCAAACTTAGAAAAAAATTCTGATTTTACCCAGAATTTTTCAACCATTTCTAACATATTTTTCCTGTAAACCAATACTTTTAATTGAGATTTGACTTCTTTCAAATTGGTCATGTCAATTTGAGAGAACATTGGATTTCGTAAAGGTCATTTTGGGAGCAGCTTCAATATTTCCAAACTAAAATTCATCTAAAAATAATTTTTAAAAATTGATTGTTCAAAAAGAATGATACTTGAATATCTAATAATATTTGTACGCATGTACTTTTAATGTCAGCATTTCTAAAAATATATATATAATAAACTGATTTAATAATGTTGGGTGGAGAATCCTTAGAAAACTCAACCACACCAAAATAATTGGTTACTTTGAATATGGAACAGAAAAACAATGGAAATTCAAGAAAAACCATTACAAGATACCAAAATTTACTTAGAGGTATTTTGAAAAGTGGATTAAAAGTCATTTCTTAACTTTTTGGGTACTTATATGTAGGTCTTAATAAGTAGACTTATTGTCTAATAAGTCCTATGAGAAAAACTTATCATAAAAAAATATCACTAATTGTAAGATTTCACGATAATTTATAAAAATCAAAACAAAAAAAAATCACTAATTGTCAATTTTTAGCGACATAAACAATTGTCACAAAAAAAAATTATTTTTAGCGACAATTTGACCAAGACTTATTTTCAATAGGACTTGACGAGAATTAAGTCCAACTATTATAACCTATTGGTAGTTTACTCCAGCTTTTAACCCATTTCATTTCTCACAAAAAAAAGTCAAAAAGCTAAAAAAAGTCAAAAAGTCAAGTTTTAACCATCTTTCCAAAATACCACTTAGGCCTCGTTTGGCAACCGAACTTTTTAGTCAAAAAGTCAAAAAGTTGTTAAATTAGCCAAAAAGCCAATAACACATACCAAAAAGTCAAAGATTTTCTTTTGTCTCTACTTTTTGCACATCTTTTCGTAAAAAGTCCAAAAGTCATCCCAAACATACTAGTTTTTTTAGCTCATATTTTAGCCAAATAGTAAAAAAATTACTAAATTAGCCTGTTCCCAAATGAGGCCTTAGTTTGGCCTAAGTCTATATCCTATTCCAATTAAAAAATAAAACACCAAATTCTAATTATATTAGGAATACACATTGAACCAATAATTCAACAAATAATCATAACTAAATGATTTTATTAAATTTATTTTTTTATTAAATACTCTCTCCCTCTACATTCTGTCTCTCTTCCTTCCTTCCCTAAGTCCTTAACTTTAGCATCAAAAGGATTTTCTAGCCAAACTTCAGCAGAGTAGCTCTCACCGTTTGTTGTGGTTGCAGTTCTTTGTTCTCAAATAGTTCAGTTCGGCCACAGAGCTCCACTCATTATCAAAGTGGGACTTATGGTGAGGCGCAGAGGCTCAATTGCACAGAATTGAAAATCTCTTCAATTGGAGAGAAATCTGTTCCATTAAAAAAAATACATGTTTGGCCCAAATTTCTTTGTTTGGTGTTTTTTATTTATTGAATTTTAAATTTTTGCTATTTTTTAAAACTTTTTAGGTGTTTCTACATCATGGGCGGAAGAAATTTTGTCTGGGAAGGGCCATTTCGTGTGCATAAAAAATGGTGAGTTAGTTTTAGTACATTACTAATTGGACATAATTTCTTATATAAAAATTGTGAAAGACATATTTCACGAGAAAAACAAATAAATCTAACAATTAGTTTTTTTTGTTTTTAAAAATTTTGAGCTATTAGATGTTAGTGTACAATCGGTTAAACTATTGTTTTAAGCTAATTTATCAATTAATAAAATTTAGTAAATAAGAAGTAAAAAAATACTTAAACCCCTAAAACATAACTCTTAAATTTACAATCAATGACATTGAACATTACATGTCAGTTGATTATTTAGAAATTAATCAATTAAGACCCAATCCCTATCATATCATTGTAAATAAATTTATCGATGAAGTTTTAAATTCTATAGATTACTCATAAAAAAGTATACGTACCATTATATTTTTAAAGTTAAAAAAAATAAATGATACCTCTTATATTAACAAAATGGATGTTATTATTTAAAATATAAAATAATTAGAGATTATTAGCATTATAAATTGTGAAATATTAATGAAATAGAAAGTAAAATAAAATTTATAAACTTAAGAGATCATCCCATTATATATTTTACTATAAAATTAATAATAAACTGGAAAAAATCAAAAGGGCGGGGCCCCTCCCAACCCCTACACAGTTCTGCCCGTGACTACTTCAGAAGTAGGGGTGTGCATAATACCGTCGAAACCGGTAAAATCGCACCGAACCGCACCATCAAGGCAAATTTGTTATTATTTGCCAATCGAATCGCCGATTTTTTATAAGAAAAATGGCAAATTCTAGTGACACTTTTATCAATTCGTCGGTTTCTATTTTTCTTCCAAACCACACCGCCCCGCACCGCCATTAAATCATGTTTTATAAGATTCTAAAAAATTTTTTTTACTTAAGTTTGCTTGTTGTTCTATACCTTAGAATATAGTATTACATTATTGCTCGAGGGGAATTCAAGATGTCAGTAATCCAAAATAAAGTTGGATTCTAATTCACTTTTCAATCCTTTTTTTTTTTTTTTTTTTTCTGGCTATGTTGCAAACTTGCGTCAGCTCACTTTTCAAACTAAATACATTTTCAATATATTGTAAATCCTGAATGATATTAATTTTATGTATTGTATTTGATCATTGTAGCTTCCACAGATGCCTATAATGAACTGATGGCATAGTCGTTGATATTATCATGTTGTTGCTACACTTGCTGCATCAGAAGAAAGCTTCGCAAGATGCTTAACATCACGGTATCTCTCGTCTTTTTTTTACTCTTTGATTTAAGTTTTGTAATTTGAATTATATTTTTTATAAACCGCCAATCCGTCCGAACCGCCAAGGCGAATCTGTCATTATTTGCCAACCGAACCGCCAGTTTTTGATAAGGAAAATAACAAATTCTAGTGACACTTTTATCAATCCGCCACCCGCTATACGGTTTCTATTTTTCTCTCAAACCGCACCGACCCGCACCGTGCACACCCTTATTTAGAAGTTTCAAATTTAAATAAATAAACAAAATCAAAATTTTAAAATTCACAAAAACAAAAAGAAAAAGAAAAAGAAAAGGAAAAAATTACTCATAAATCTCATATTCGGAAATGCTACTCTATCTAGTCCTGAGTGTGTTTTTGTAAATCATTTAGTCCTTTTTATATTTGGTGTGATATCTTTGTTTGTTATATTTTATATGAAAAATGTCTAAGATCCTCTTTTTTTCCCACCTCCTTTGACCCCCTCTCTCTCTCTCATTGGTTGGATTTTCTTTTTTCTTTTTTTTTTGTTTCCCTTGTCCTCCAATCACCACCTGCCACATGTGTGTGGGGGTGGTGGGGGTGGTGATTGGAGGGGGTCTCCATCACTCCTCATTTTATATTTGGTATGGTATCTTTGTTTGTTATATTGTATAAACATCAATATATTGTATCCCATATTGGTGTAGGATGATGTTTGATGAGGTTGAAGATATAGTTGATGTTTGATGATGTTCACAATGTTGGTGATGTTGATGATGTATGATGATGTAGTTGATGTTTGATGAGATTAATGATGTTTTATGATGTTGGTGATGTTGATGATGTTTGATGAGGTTGAAGATGTAGTTGATGTTTGATGATGTTCACAATGTTGGTGATATTGTAGTTGATGTTTGATAATGTTGATGATGTTTTATGATGTTGGTGATGTTGATGATGTTTGATGATGTAGTTGATGTCTGATGATGTAATTGATGTTTGATCAATGTTGATGATGTTTTATGATGTTGGTAATGTTTAATGATGTAGTTGATGTTTGATGATGTAGTTGATGTTGATGATATTATTGGTGTAATTAATATTGCTGATGTTCAGAAATGATGAAAATCTAAAAAAAGCCTATAGTGAGCTTTTAACATTCAAATAGAACTTATTAATCTACAAAATAAAAGACAGGACCAAATGGTTTAACAAATTAAAATTTAAGATTTATTAGTGTTGTGTCCAAAGAAAAGAAATCAATCAATTTTGTTGACCTTTTATAATAAAATCAGTTTTTTTTTTATTAAATTAATTCAATTTAATTTTGTAAAAATTAATAAAATCAGCAAAAAAATTTAAATTAATTAAATTATTTTTTTATTTTTTTAGGTGTTTTCATACTAAAAGCCCATAGAATTTTTTTTTTTCTTTTTTTTTAATATATCAAATTTGGAAAAGCCTACTAACCTATAAGGGGAAAGTTTTTGATAGTGCCATTTGGTGAATTTACATCATTCCAATTGGTTAGTCCTGATTGGTTAAACCGCGACAAGAATTATTATCAATTCGTCACAATATCAATCAGTTATAAGATTATTGGAGCACCAACCGACCTGAATCCAGGACCAACCTGGAACAAGTCACCAACCATGCCATCTTGATCCCAGTGAAAGTAAAATTTAAACATTTTTTAAAAAATATAATTTCACACCAATCAAATAAACTATATTCTCAGATTAAATTTTAAGGGTCATTATATGAAACATTTTGAAAGACAAGCCTTACATAAAGTGAGACTTTTAAAAATTTTGAAGAAAATACCAAATTAGGTTTACACATTCATTCATTTGAGTCAGTTTAGTAGACACCAATATACACACCAATAATAAGTTCAAATTACACACATGTAAATAAAAATACAATGCAAATCACAAATACCAAATTACAAAGACACAGCCATTACAAATTACAACAAACAAACCAATCAAACTATCAAATGTCCCGCAAGGATAAGAGAAGAACAGCTTCACCAAATAACCAGGTTCAAGGCAAGAATTTGTGTCTTCGGCGTATTCATAGAGAATCCGCCTATGAGACAAGACAAATCCAATAAAAATTAAGTACCGTCGATTTTAGAAAATAAAAAATAAAAAATAATTTATTGCCCAAATTTTTAAAAAAAAGGAAGTTCATATATTAATGTTGTGTTTGGTTGGGAGATTTGAGAAGGAATTTGGAAAGAGAAATGAAAAATGTAGGTGAAATGTGAATAAAACATACTTATATTTCACATAATTTCACATACTTTTTCCCTTTCTCTTTTTAAATCCCTCCTCAAATCCTCAAACCAAACAAAACATAAGGCTTATAGATCTTAACCACAGAAATAGCCTTTCCATACAATATTATGCTGTGTTTGGTTGGGGAATTTGGGGAGTAATTTGAAAAGGAAAAAGAAAAAGGTGTGTGAAACTATGTGAAATATAAGCATGTTTCATTCACATTTCACAAACCTTTTCCATTTCCCTTTTCAAATTCCTTTTCAAATCTCCCAACTAAACACAACATTAGTGGAGCAATGCGGAGGAAGGGAAGGGGAAAGCCCGGCCACACCCCCACCTAAAATAAAAAAAAAAAAAAAATTTGTTGGGTCAAATTTTTTTATCAGTGTGATTTACACATGGTATGTTTACTTATACAATAATTTTAGTTATTCAAAACACTAAATTAGAAGTTTATCATAAAGTGAAGGGTAAGATATAAATTTAAAATTTAAAACATGTCTACACATCAATCAATCACTTTTTCTCTCACAATTATCTATTCAACTACGAAAAAAATTTACAAATCATCCCAAACACAATTTTTTTCCATCTCATAAAATAGCAAAAAAATTAAAAAAACTAATTAAAATAGCCAAGATACCAAACAGGGCCTAAGTAAGGTTTTCAAAATTTCAAAATTTATTACAATCCCAATACCATTAGCCAATTGCTTTGGATGTGTATGGTTTACAATTAGTGACAAAGTTATATGACACTCTGAACTACCTAATAATTTTCTGATTCATGTGATTGTGTTAGAAAATAAAATAAATAAAAAAAGTACGAGTCATATTTGCTACATAATACACATCTGTGATAAGAAATTTAAAAAGTACCAAAAAAAAAAAAAAAAAAGAGCAAAGAATGCTCGTGAAAAATCTACTGTGTAATTTTAGAGTTTTCAAAAACAATTTTTGAATTTTGAATTTACATATTTTTATTTGTAGTGAATTTTTACAATGTTTTAATCAAATTTGTTTACTTTTTACATCTAAATAATTTAGATACACTTAGTAGTCGTTTGACATGTGAGTTTGGCATGAGTTGAGGCTAAAATAGTCCCAAAAAGATAAAATAGGCTTTTTAACCTCAGGCTAAAAGTTGTCACATTCAAACTATAATCAATTCATTTTTTTCTCTCACAAAAGTTTAAAAAGCTAAAAAGCCCATTCCAAACGAGACAATTTTAGCCCCAAACTAAAAAAAGTCAAAAAATCAATTCACATTTCAAACGAAGCCTTAAAAAGTACAAATTTTAAAAAAAATGACATTAAATAATTCACCAAATAAAACCCCAAAAAATCCCAAAAAATCCAGTATATTTTCATATATTTTTTTATATTTATTGATTTTTTTTTTTTAGAGTTCTTCACAAATATTTTATTATATAAATACATTTAAATTAAGTGTATCTCAAAAAAAATATATATATAGAGTTATAATAAAAATAATGTAGAGTTTAAGAGTATTACAATTATTTCACATCTATTTTTAACGATTGTATTTTGATTCAAAACCACATAGAGATTTTCTGACTATATTTGATTCATATGGGATAAATGATTTTGGCTTCAAACCACATGGGGATAAAATACATTTTGCCCCAAATTCTATTACTTTAGGATTACCTAGTTTCTCATCAATGTTTTTTTTTTTTTTTAAAGGAAAAATGTTTGCAATATTTAGGTTGTGTTTGGATTATGGATTTAGGTGGGAATTTTGAAAGAAAAATGAAAATATGAGTGAAATATAGTTACATTTTTCCTTTCAAATCCCTATCCAAACACAACCCTTATAGTTCTTTCTTAACAAGATTTATTACGCTTTCTATCCTTAAACTATCACTGAATTGTCTATTTCCTGAACTATCCATTGAATCTACTTAATCCCTAAAGTATATAAATTAAATTTTATTTATCTCTTAAACTATCAATTGAATCTATTAAGACCCTAAAATATTTAGTTCAAACAAATTTAGTCCCTGAAAGGATTACAAAAATAAAATACATGCCTATAAGTATTATAAATTAATAGAATACCCTACCAAGTTAAGATTTTATTCTAGAAAAATTTTAAATTTCTATTTTATCTTTAAAAAGTATTTTTTTTACTGTGTGTTTAAATTAATATCAGAGCCTGATTTTCAATCTCGCCAATAAAATTATATGAGTATTAGACATATTGAAAAAGTAGAATTATTGAATTTAAATAATGACATTTTGTTACAAATTATAATAGAATAAAATAATACATTAATTAAGTTATAAAAAAATTTAGCAAAACACTTAATAACATTCAATTAGGAAATTATAAACGAAATCTAATATATAATACTAAATAAAGACAAACAAGTAGTCATTGTAAAAGATAAATAAAAAAATAAAATTTACCAAAAGAACTGATGCCCACTTTCGAAGACTATAAAAATTTAAGGTTGTGTTTGGTAGGACTTTGTAACTATGATTTGAAAGTATGAGTTGTATTTTGAGTTTGTGAAGTTTGAAATAATGATTTGAATGTGGAAAATTTGTTCGGTGAAAGAATTTTGAAAAGAGTTTTGAATTGAGTAGGGAATTTTTGATATAACATTTGATATTTAATACAAAAACTTACAACTCATAACCAAACATACAACTCAAAATTATTTTAAAGCACATAAAAAATTTTAAAAAATTCAGAAAATATTTTTTTCGAATATATAAAAATTAATACATCAACTGCAAAATATAAAATAAAATAAGATAAAATTCACTGTTCCAGTCAACCGGCCGGACCACCAATTAGGCCAAATTTCAAAAAAAGAAAAATTTGGAAATCGTGCTCTGTTCGACAGAGTTTTCTGCAGAGTTGTGAAAAATTAATTCCACAACTCTATCCAAACACCATACGCGAACTCAATCGTAGAAAACGATTTTCAAAATCGTTCCAAACAGAGCCTACGTATTTTTTGAAATACAATTTTAACTAGATAAAGTCTTTCATTAATTTATAATACTTATGGGCTAATATTTTATTTTTGTAATCATTCTAGGGACTATCGATAGTTTAGGGACTAAATGAATTTTAATTTATATATTTTAAGGATTAAGTAAACTTAATCAATAGTTCAGGAACTAAGTAAATAACTTAGTGGTAATTTAGGAGTAAAAAGTGTAATAAACTCTTCTTAATAATATAACTGGAAAAGTTGAGAAATAGATGTTGAGGACCGAACCTTATCCAGCCGAATTTCGTAGTAGCGGAATAATCTTCTAAGCTATAATAAACATATAGAAGAAACAAAATGAGGAATATTAAAATAAAGTTAGAGATATGAATAGAGAAAACAACCACAAATATAAAATTGTATGATAGTAAAGAAGTATGTGGATGAAACAAGATAAATATCATACCGGTATATCATTATGTATCTTCATTATGTTTTTTATTCTATCTGGAACCGTAGTTATTGGAATGCACCCAAAGAAGCCAAGTTCCTTGAGTCGTGGCATTCCTCCTTCCTCAACTATGAGCTCCTCTAGTTTTTCCAAACGCTCAATTTTCAATACTTCAAGTTGAGGAAAGTTACAACCAGGTGCTCCGGGGCAAACCATCTTGCTCCCCATATATGACCCGTGGTATAATTTTAGAATCTTTAGTTTAGGGAGTTTCTTTAGAGTCTCCATTGGGTCGTCTTCTAAATAATTGAAGGAAAGGGCAAGGTTGGTAAGGTTTGGGGGAAGTGTGTCATGTTGAGGCAACTTAGAGTTCCACCACCCAATGCACTCCAGCTTCAGGCTAAGAAGATTCTCATATTGAGACAAATTCCATGTTCCTAATTTCTCACCACTGATGAAACCCGACAACGACAACTTTTCAAGCTTGGTTAGTACAAGTGTTGGGTCTGACAATATCTCAATGATACGCGTAGACGAATTATTAACACCTAACTTTCTCAAATTGACAAGTTTGTGCAAAAAACTGAAATTGCACCCCACTTCTTCTGTCAACCCATATAGGGTTTGGAGATTTGGTAAACAAATTTCAGTTCGATAAAATATTCTATCCAAGTTGATCCCACAGAACGAAGGAACCTTGCAGGAACGAGGTAAGAGTATATGTCTTAGTTGCTTCATAGTCCAAAAAACATCAGGAAGGATGACACAACCACCGCTACCTTGAACATCAAAGGTTAGCAAACCTTTCAGATTGCTTATGGTGTGAGGAATTTCTATAGAATTTCTGGATCCCAATCCAAGGTAATGCAAGTTCTTCAAATTGCCAACTTCATTTGGAAGACGGCCCCACAAATATTCACACTTAACACTTAGAACTCGAAGAAATTCAAAGTCTCGAAGAAAATTCTTAACCATTTCCCTCCTTACGAACCTTAGATCTCCACTAAAACTTAGCATAGAACGAAGCTTTGGAGTTCGATAATTCAAAGAAATGTAGTCCTCGAAATTACTACCATGAGTAGTGACTCTACGTACACCCGTTCCATGATTACAGGTGATTACATCATTTTGAGTGTTAAAGAAATTAATTTCCTTGGCCTCCCGAATGCAAAGATCGTGCAAAATATCATGAATGCGACAACTCCTAACCTTTCCATCAAACCTCCTTTGAACAACTTGAATCAAGTTCCTCACAATCAAGTGATTTAGATAATCATCCCCCACATCCTCAACCTCTCTCACTCCACTACCTCGTATAAATCCCTCAGCTGTCCATAAATTAACTAATTTGAATGCAGAAATTTCATGGTCCTCCGGAAAAAGTCCAAAGTATAGAAAACATGGTTTCAAATTTGTAGGCAAGTCTTTGTAACTCAGTCCAAAGATTTCTGAGCATTGATCATCATCTTGCCCCATGCCCTCGAGTATCCCCTTCCATGCGTTTTCTAATCTCTCTCTTAATAACAACAATCCTGCTGCTAGTACAATTGCCAGTGGTACACCACCGCATCTTTTTAATATTTGTTCACCAATAGTCTCCAGCTGAGGGGGATCACTTGCTTCTACCATAACCATTTTAAAGAAGAGTTTTCTGCTGTTTTCTTCATTTAAAGGCCGCAATTCATGTAGAGAGCTATTCCCGCCGACATGAGTACCCACATAATTGTTTCGAGAAGTGAGAATTATTCTACTCCCATTCTTCGTATTGGTAGGGATTACATTCTTCATAGCATCCCATGTGTCAATATGCCATGTATCATCAAGGACTATTACATATCTGTGTTGGCTAAGGAATGTAAACAAATTGACCTCGACGTTCTCCTCCCACTTCTCTTTCTCTAAGCCAACTTGTCGTGCAATGTCTCGTAAAAGTTCTTTTATATTTGGTTGCTGAGAAACATAAATCCATGCAGAAAGTTCAAAATTATGTTGAGCGGACTTAAAAATTTTCTTAGCAAGAGTTGTTTTGCCTAGCCCTGCCATGCCAATTATTGAGATCACACAACATTGTAATTCTTTATTGAGCATTTTTGCCACCAAATCTTCAATGTGTTCTTCAAAACCAACAACATTTGGTTCATCAATATGGGGAAAAGATCGTCTTTCATCCCACATGTCTCTCCCACCACTACCACTAGATTCATTGATGCCGTAAGTTTGTCTGGCACGATTGATATCCTCAACTCTTCTTTTGATCCCTTCAATCTCCACAGCAAAGTTACGAGCGTCATAACCATAGCAGACAATACAAGTGGCACTCTTGAGACAACCCAAAAACTTCTTCCCTCTGAGTGATGCTATCCGGGGGAAGTATTTCTGCATAATGTCCTCCACATCACAAGCAAGATCTCGAATATCAATCACCAAGTTGGCCACTGCTCTGCTTCCCCCTTGTTTGGCTTCAGCATCCTCCAAGTAGGCTTGAATATGCCTCATCTCACGTTCAATCCAAACAATGTCTTCTCGCAAATGACACAAGTGAGAACCTTCTTTTAAAACTAGATTGCCAAGTACACCGACGGTTTGTCTGAGGACTGCAGTAGCTCCGGCAAGAGCAATCTCTGCCATCTTTGCTTTGGTGGCTACAAATTACAGATGAGAAGTTCTGACAAAATTATTGAAGACAACAACTTCTAAGAAAAGCACACAAGAATTGGAACAAGAGTGAACCACAATCACAGAAATGTATAAATTTCAACACACAGAACATTAATTAAGTGGGTTAATTACACAATTGGTCCCCAATTTATGTGTTTTGTTACACTTTAATTCTCAATCTTTTAATCTTTTTACTTTGGTCCCTAAAATATGTGATTTGTTTCACTTTAGGCCCTAATATTAGCTCCGATCAAATTAAAAAGGGATATTTATTTATTAATTTATTTAAACCTAAAAAAAATGCTACAAAATGTACACTTTCACACTTATATGTATTTGATCATTTTGATTTTTATTGAAATTTCATGTAAAATTCCAAAACTACCAAACCCCCCCATAACAGATTTTGACAACGATAACGTCACAGACTAAAGTGTAATAGATTGCATATTTTAAGATCAAAGTGGAACAATTAAAAGATTATATTCTTGAGATTAACTCAAAATAAACATATTGATTTGGCGCAGAGCAGAAGTTTAAAAAAAACAAAGAAGAAAGAAACAGCAAAAGCGAAAAAACGAACCTGTAATCTGATGGCAATCCCGCAAGAAAGAAGACAGAAATCAGATGGAAAATAAAAGCGCAATCTTGGCTGTCTCAACCTCCCCCCAACGAATTACCGATCATGACGAGTTGCAAGAAGCGCCCTTGAAAGAACTGAGAGAGAACTCTGCAAGGAGACTATTATGTGAAAAACATAAATAATAAAAGCGTTAGATATGGATAAAATGTTTGAAAATTTTTGGAAACATAAATTAAGGCCAAGCTTACATATTTTTTATTTTTTTATCCTTTTTTTATTATATAATCTCTTTATTTTTTTCACATATTTTCGTAAAAATAAAAAAATACATTTATTATCCAAACAACCCATAAAATGAAAAATGGAGAAGAAGATATGCAGATTAAATATCTTTTAAATCCAAATTAGCTTCAGGCAACAATATCATTAAAATGAAGAAGATCTGCAGATTTAAAATGAAGAACAACAGTTATATGTTCTTAAAAAAAAAACAAAACAAACAAAAATTTACAAGGATCTAGCACAGATCTACAAGCAACCATGGCAAAACAGATTTGTCGTTCGGAAATTTTGCAGAACAGATTTGCAGAACAGAGAGAGAGACTGACCTGAGACTGAGATCAATGTGGTTCGGAAATTTTGCAAAAGATCTGCAGAACAGATTTGTTGTTTCAGAAAGAGAAAAAAAAAACCAGCATGGCAGCTCGGTGAAACACAGAGAAGAGAGAGAAGAGAGGGGAGAGAGAAGAGAGACTAACCTGATTTGCTGAAGTTTTAGTCAACATGAAGCAGAGGAAGATGATAAGATTTAGATACAACTTTTATTTTATCGTTGGGAGAAAATAAATTGAATTCGGATGATCCGAAGATTTGAACCGGGTATGCCGACAATTAAATTATTGTAGCTCCGTTACAGTGACTGCGGCTACCGTGTCAAATTTATAAATTGATGAAAATATATTTTTTTTAATTTATATTTTTTGAATCAAATTTATAAATTGAGAAATAGTATTACAATTTAAAAATTTATTAAATAAATTTTTAATATAATTTTTTAAAATTTTATAAATACAAATTAAAAATTAAAAACAAAATGAATGTCTAATCTTAAAAATTATAATCTTGAGATTAACTCAAAATAAACATATTGATGTGGCGCAGAAGATTAAAAAAAAAAAGAGAGAAAAAAGAAACAGCAAAAACAAAAAAACGAGCCTCTAATCTGATGGCAGTCCCGCAAGAAAGAAGACAGAAATCAGATGGAAAATAAAAGCGCAATCTCGGCTGTCTCAACCTCCCCCCAACGAATTACCGATCATGACGAGTTCTAAGAAGCCCCCTTGAAAGAACTGAGACAGAACTCTGCAAGGAGACTATTTATGTGAAGACTTATCATCGTTTACTCGCTTTTTTCTACCAAAAAGTCTGTGCAGTGGTTGGGTCAACCATTTCACTCATTTTATTTTTAATATTTGATTTCACGACTAAGGTGTCGACTATGGTGTTGAACGCTTGGAGGCGATTAGGAGCAGAGTGAGATTAAAAAGTGGAGAGATGGGATAGTATTAAATTAGAGAGGTAGGGGGTGTTTGGGAAGTAATTTTTTTGGTTTTTTTTGGGTTAAAATAACACTAAAAGATAAAATAGGTTAAAATAGTTAATAAGATAGGATGTCACATCAAATTCATAATCATTTCACTTTTTATCTCAGAAATGTCACATTCAACTACAAAAAAATTTAACTATTTTTCCAAATACAAAAATTTTAGCCTCCTAAAATAACAATTTCCCAAACATTCACGTAATATAATTGTGGTTATTTATGAGCTAATGTAGTAATATCAATTGGTTGGAATTAATTACACTTTGTCCTTTTATGTTTGGTTATTTTTTTATTTTGACCTTTAAAATTTATTTTTTCTCACTTTGACATTGTTTCATTTTTTTTTTAATTTACTCTTAAAACTAATTTCTGTACAAAATTAGATAGAAAATGTCACTATAGCTATCACATAATATAAAAAATGTATTATTAGACTAGGGCTTCAGTTTGTGTCAGATGTATAAGTTATATATAATAAAATATATTTATATCGCATGACTGTCAATGTGTTATTTTTTATTTAATTTTTAACAGAAGTTAACTTAAGGAGTAAACTGAAAAAAAAAAAATTTAAAACATGAAGAGTTAAAGTGAAAAAAAATAAGTTTTAAGAACCAAAATAAGAAAGTGGCTAAACATGAACGGGGTAAAGTGTAATTTTCCTTCTATAAAATTATGTAAAAGTCCTCGATATGTATAGAAGGTGACTTCATTGTTAAGGTAAAGTGATAGGCAAAATAGTTTTTTTCCCTCTAATCACAGGAGATTAGATTTTCCTTGTGGGGTTGCTAGTTACCTCTTTAGTTGGGTTTCATAGTTTCATAAGACATTTACGTTTCGTTTGTTAGGACGAAAAATAATTTGAAAAACATTTTACATGATTTTTTTTCCAAAAAATGTTTTTTGAAATAAATAATTTTCTATGTTCGGTGGTGGACGTAGTGGAACAAAGGTGGAAGTGAAAGTGGCGGCGTGGTGGCGTGGCGGCGTGGCAGCAACAACAATACCAACAGTGATAGTGGCTATAGACATGGTGTTGGTGGTATGGTGGTAGAGGTGAGCGTGACGGTGGTAATGTGTTGACATTGGTAAGACTTTAGTCTGGAAAATGTTTTCCGCTTTTTAAAAGTAAAAAATATTTTTTGTCCAAATTGGCTTGTTTTTCGTTAACCATAGAAAATATTTTCAATTGACTTTTGTTTTTCATTGTACTAAACACCAGAAAATATAAAAATTATTTTTCATAAGGATAAAAGACAATTGCAGTCCTTAAAGTATGCACTCTTTGTCATTTCAATTTCTTAAGTTTTAATTTTGTTATTTTAGTCCTTAAAATTGTCAATTTGAGTTAATTTGATCCTAGGTTTAACATCTATTAACAGAAATATAACTAGAAGATAGTTTTGGTCTTTAAAATATACATTTCTTATCATTTTAATCCCTCAAGTTTTAAATTTTGTCATTTTGGTCTTCAAAGTTGTCAATTTGAGTTAATCCTAGCTTAAATTGACAATTTTGATAACCAAAATGATAAAATTTAAAATTTAAGGGACTAAAATGATAAGAAATGCGTACTTTAGGGACCAAAACTAAATTGTATTCATATTTATGTCAACCGACGTTAAACTTAAGACCAAATTGATTCAAATTAACAATTTTAGGGGCCAAAATGATAAAATTAAAATTTAAGAAACTAAAATAACAAAGAGTGCATATTTTAGGAGCTAAAATTATTTTTTATCTTTTTTATTTGATAAAATTCTTTTAGTCAATCAAACGGAGCATTAATGCCTTTGTAATTTTTTAAAACAAAGATGATTTTTGTAACTCTCACTAATTCAATCCTACCATTCATTTCTGAAAACAAACAGAGAAACATTGGTCTCTGCAGCACAAAATAAAAGAAATTTTTTTTTAAATATATTATTTTATTAATTTTAATTAAATTATTTATGTGAATTTATGTATATATATAGTTGTTATAAAATGTATGTTATAATGTTGAAAAATGATCTAAACCTTATCGCATTATAAAATTATAATTTAAATATTTGTTATTTAATTATTTATTCTGCTTGCCTGAAGTCCACTTTGGTAGAATACACCATGCAGTTAGTTTACTGTGGATTTAGTCCAAGTTCATATGTTGATTAATCATAACAAAGTTAATTAGACATCAGTATCCACACACAATCGATTCATAATTTATTCTTCCAAAAAATGAATGGCATGTATCATTTCTACAATTTACTATATTATCTTTTGAGAAGAAAATATGATTTGATTGTGTGCGTAATGAAATTTGATTAATTTAGTTTTTAATATAAATGATTTATTAAACGAACCTTATAAAATAAATAGTTTATATTATGAAGATGAATTCTCAGCATAGTTAAAAAAAATATGGGGAAATTAGTTATCAGTGGTTTTAGTGGAAAAAATTTACAAAAATAAATAAACATCATAGATATTAATAATTAACATCATAATTTTTTTTTACGAATATGTTATTATTTTTCAAAAACCATCCTGAATGGTAAAAATATTGCAATGCATGCAATAAAAAGACAATATTTTAAACAAGAAAGTGATTTGTAAACAAAAAATTCATACAAAAAATTTCACAAGAACGAGGCGGTAATTTGATATTTTGAAAACTGTAAATCACTTTGATGAGCTTTTTAGTTTGAAATGAATGGATACTAATTTTTTGAAAACTGTAAAATTCTTTTGGGACCAAATTTTTTGTCTCAAAAGATACATCATTTTGAGACTAAATTATTTTTGTCTCTAAAAATCTATTTATTAGTGCCATTTTCAAAATTTGTCGCTAAAAGCTTTGTTTTGGACTTTTCGAGACGACCTTTTAGCGACTATCCTCATGATAATAGAAATTGGTCTCTAAATATCTTTTACAACAAAATTTTTACTTTTAGAGACCAAAATATTTTATCTCTAAAACTTTTATTTGTTGTAGTGGCATGCAATAAAAAGACAATATTTTAAACAAGAAAAGTGATTTGTAAACAAAAATTCATACAAAAAATTTCACAAGAACAAGGTGGTAATATCATATTTTGAAAATTGTAAATCACTTTGATGAGCTTTTTAGTTTGAAATGAATGGACACTAATATATCATGTCATTTTGTATAGATTTTTTGTTTAAATTTTTTATTGTATATGATCACTCGTTAAACAATAGCCTTGGTATAGTTTATTATAAATTAAAAGTTGATAAGCAGAAAGTTAAATCTAAAAACACTTCTTCTATAACTTTTAAATAATTAACTTTTCTTAATTTATTTAAGTTATTTCCGCCAAATAAATTGAATTTAGTATCATTGATTCGGTATTTCTTATTGTAGAAGTTAGGAGGTTGAATTGTGAGTTCTTGCGGGCATGTTGAGGCAGTGTTTCATTGTATTGGCATTTCACCAACTTGATTTGATATATGCTTTGAGATTTACTTGTGTTTTTTCTCAGTGATCATATGTCAAGTAAATTGAGATATGTTTTTTGAGATATGATGCAGATGAATCCTCATTGCCTTCGATTAATGTATTTTGTTTTGTTCGTACTTTATTTCTTCATCAATGAGGTGCTCTTTTGATGATAAAAATAATAATAATAATATCAATTTCATACTTAAATTATTCTATTTTATATTAATTTTGCCTCCATTGTCAATTGTCGTCTATGATTAAACGAAAGTTGTTGATGTGGTACCCAAACTTCATTTGAAATTTTATTTTACTCCCAAAACTATTCCCAAAATATTAGGCCAAGTTTGGCTAAACTAAAAAGTGCACTTATTTCATCTTTTTATCTTTTTTGGGTCATATCAATCAACATCTCCTCTCTACTTTTTCTACACATAATACAAGAAAAGTCAAAAAGTGCACTTATTTAGTCTTCCCAAACTTGGCCTTAATTAGACTCCTAAATAAAATGAAGTTAGGGGGTCTAATTAATATTTTAGAGATAGTTTAGGAGGTAAAATAAATTTCAAACAAAATTTCGCTATTACGTCAACAGCTTTCTTTTGATTATAAATGACAGCTAACGGCGGAGGTAAAATTGATTCAAAATTATATAATTTAGGTGTAAAATTGATATTATTAAAAGAATAGGGATTGAAGTAATAATTTGGAGGACAAAATGATATTTTCTCAACCAAAAAAAAAAAAATACTATGCACTAGAAAGAAGAAATAAAAACTATTTTCAAATGAAATGTATTCATCAAATTTATTCGAAATGTAACCCAAATGTAACCCACGTCACAACAAACTTAAATCAATACACTTCGTTTTTGGTACTCTATCAAATAAATTT